TCCTGGAGCCAGCAAGGCTTTTACACAGCAGCTACTTTAGAGCCATTTCCACAAATCACACAAGGGACAGGCTGGGGGACAGGGAGGAGAAGGCCTTTCCAGAGGAGGGAGGAAAAAAGAAGAAATTAATTAAAAAGGGGGGATAAAAACAAGGACAGGGAAGTGGCTGATTATGAATGTCCAGAAAGGAATGGGAGGGGAGATACCCTGGGATGAACGGGGCAGCCTTGAATGCTCTGTGGGGCTGCTGGGCTGGGGGAGCCCCATGCTGGGAGCAGCCCAGGTGGCTCCTCCTAAAAACCACCCTGGGGAGCCAGAAATGGGAGTCAGGGACAGGGACAGCAGCTCTCAAGAGACAAACCCCCAAAACCACAGGGACAGAGGCAACGCAGAGACACCCCTAAGGCCACGTGTCCTGCTCGGATCACCCCATCCCCTGTCCATCCCTTGCCAGGAGCAGGAACATCCCCCCAGCACCCTCTGAACAGTGAATTTGTCCCATTTGTCCCCAGGCTGCCCTGCCCAGCACTCCAGGCTGTGCCCAGCAGCACCTTCCAGAAGGATTCCAGCTCGTTCCTTTCCCTCTGGTGGCACACGCTGGAGCTGGATTCGATTCCAGAGGATTTCCCAAGGGAAACCCAGCCCCAGATCTCAGGTTTGGGGTCCAACATCAGCCCCAGACCCCCCAAAAGCAGGGCTGGGAACTGGTAGCAGCTCAAACACAGCTGGAATTCATCCCCTTCCCTGGCTCCAGGAGAGGAGCTGATCCCGCAGCCGCACCGGGCCGGCGGCAGCAGGGATTGCATTCCCAACCTGATTTATCCTCCAGAGCAAAACCACAGCTTCTCCTTAAAGGAAAAATAAATAAAAATTAATTCATTCTCATGTTTTGCCAGTCCTGGGGAAGAGCTCAGAGCAAACCCAAACTCCTGCAGGGGATGGGAGGTGACAGCACCATGTGAGGTGGCAAAGCCACCCCAGCAGCACCTGCTTTAGGGCCTTTAGGGAAAATCCAGGATGAGAAATATTATCCACGTGGTGGGAAAATGCTCACCAGAAGGTGAGAGTGGCTTCATCAGAAGATTGAATTGGCCTTGGTGGTGGTGTCCTCCCCCAAGGCCAGGGCAGAGGTGAGGGGGGATGAGGGACATGGGACAGGCCAGGAGCAGCAACAGGTCAGGGAGCAGCTCCAGGAAAAGGGAGAGGCACATCCTGAGCAACAACCTCTGTGTGCCAGCCCTGGGCTGCTGGTGGCACAGGTGACAGCCCAGAAATCCCCCAGCCCAGCTGGTGCCTCCAAACGCAGCTGGAGGAGCCCAGAGCTCCCAAATTCCAGCCAGGGGAGATCCATCCCCCTTTTCCCTGGGGAATGGGCAGCAGGATTGCCTCACTCCATCCTACCGAACCATTTCTCCTTCTGCCACCACAACTCCCAGGGGAGATCTCATCCCCAGAGCCACCCCTGGCGTCCCCAACCCCATCCCAGCGTGTCCCACCCCAGGAGCAGCCACTTCCCTGCCTGCCTGCCCGGGGGGCTGCTCGTTAGCAGAGCCACGTATTTAATAATAAAAGATTCTGATTAGATTAGCAAGAGTGACCTTTTCCAGATGGATGGGACGCTCCCGTGGTGGCAGTGACAGGCACCATGCGGGAGGGGACACCCAGCAGCTCACACACACCCAACATTATTTTGGCCAGGCAATGCAGGAGCTAAAAAAAAATCAGATTGTGCTGTCTAAGCTGCCCTTCCCTCACCCACCATCCCCCAGGGTGATGCCACTTCCCCCTGACTCCCTCCACAAGAGGCTCTGGAGCTGGGATGTGCTGATGGAACATTGGGGATGCTCTGCAGGATCCTCAGTTTTCCCTTTTTTTGTCTTTTTTTTAGGATGCAGAGGAGCTGGGAGAGGGATCTCAGCAGCTGGAGTGGTTTAAATAGTAGCCCTTAAAAAAAATTCTCAAAGAAATAGCCAGGTTTCCAAGAACTCCTGAGCAATCCCCAGCCACGAGGTGCTGCCACCCCATCCCCTGCCTCAGTTTCCCCCAAAAGGACAGACCTGGATGAGGACCAAACCCTGTGGCTGGTGCTGCCCAAAATCATTGCTCAGAGGATCTCCCTCAGCCTTTTCCCTTCCCTCAGAAACACCAAGAGGGCAAAAGGGGGAGAAGAAAAGAATTTCCCAAGGGGGAAATTCAACTTCATACCCCTAAATCCCAGCATTGAGCTGGGATTTCAGGTATTGGGGTTTGGGGTCACACAGGGGCAACTCCAGAGCCAAAATCCAAAAGGAACATCCCTGCACATCCCCCTTTTCTGTGGCACCAAAGGCAAAACTTGTGCCAGCCTTAACCCAGCTCAGAGGCCGGGTCCTCCCCCTTTCCCCACCTACCCAAAACCCCATTGCCCTCCCCTGCTCCTGGGAATGCTCAGCTGCTCCGAGCCCACCCCAAAAGCCGGCCTGGGGGCTGCCAACGCCGGGAGGGGTTCCCGGGGCACGTTCCCGGTGTTCCCTGAGCAGAGGCGGGTGTAGGTTCCCGGTTCCCGGCAAGTTATGGCACATCTCCACCTGCTGGTGTGAAAACCCCGGAGCTGGAGCTGGAGCCGCTCGCAGGGACCGACACGGGGCTGGTTTGGGGTGTGTCCCCCGCTGGGTTTGGGCTGTCCGGGCTGGAGAGCCCGGCAGGGATGGAGCCCTGGAGCACCATCCTGCTCCTCCAGGATCCCCCTGGCCTGGGGAGCGGGGGGAGCCAGGGATGGGATACACGGGATGGGATACACGGGATGGGATGGTGGGATCCAGCACAGGACCCCAAACCTGCCCGGAATGGTGGCACAGGATCACCCCAGCAGAGCCTCCAGGCTCGTTTGGGAGCAGGGAAACTGAGGCACGCTGCAGGGAGCTGAGGGAAGAGGCAGAGCCCAGGTTCAACCCTACAGACAGCAGAAACCATCCCATAAACCCACAAATCCCCCGTGCTGCATCCCAACAGGTCCCAGCACAACTGCACCGAGCAGACACCACCAGCATCCATGCTCCACATGTCCATCCGTCCATCCTGGGGCCATCCCACCCCAGAGATGCCAAAAAAATCCCAAAAACCCCCATTTCTGGGAGCAGCTGATCTGGGGCCTCAGCCAAGCAGCTCCCGGGGAGCGCAGCAGGAGCGAGGCTGGCACGGAGGGCTGCTCTTAAATAAAAAACAAGGGGAAAAGGGAAAAAGGGAGTGAAATCCTGCAAGCAGGAGAGGCAGGCGCTGCTTCACCATGGGCTGACCCTGCTGCCAGCCCGAGCCATTTGGAAGGAGCTCTGGAGAATCAGGAGCTCTCCGTGGCTTTTTCCTCCTCCCTCCGAGAGCTTTATTTGTCCACGAAAGGCCAGAGAGGGCAGCTGAGCATCCTGGAAGGGGAATAAAAACTCCTGGCAGAGGTTTCCCTTCCCGTGGGCACAGCCCTGGCACAGGCCACCCTCACCCACCTCACAGTGGCCCTGGGGACCCCCCCGTGATGGGGACACATCCCCAGTGATGGGGACATGGCATCCCCCAGCCCAGGGGACACATCCAGGCCTGGCCCAGAGGGTCCCAGCAGCAATGGGGGATCAGAAACACCCAGGAGAGGATGGGGAGCAGGGGGCACGTCCAGCCCCTGCAGCAGAGGCCGCTCCCCATGGATCACATTCCCACAGGGATGCTTCCCACAGCCCAGCCAGACAGCTGGATCTGATCCAGGGCAATGGGGCAGGGAGGGATCCTGCTGCCCTCCAGGCTGCCAGACCCCTGAGCTGGTGCTCCCAACGAGCTCTGCCAGCAAAGAGCAGAGGCTCTGCCCAGGGAGCACCCCAGGAACAGTCTGGGGTGGGAACAGGGAGCTCTGCCACCCCCGAGGATGCTACGGAAACTTGTGGCTCCACAGCCTGGAGCATCCCTGCTCCTCCACTGGGCTCTGAATTTCCAGGCTGGAAAACCCCTTCCAGCCCCCATCAATGCTCCCAGTATCCCCCTCCTCATAATTCCACCCCTCCTCAAGCTCTCCCAAGACCCTCAGGGTGCTGCAGATGCCGGCAGAGCCCTGCCTGAGCCCCCAAAGTGCCTCGGCCGTGGGTTGTTGGTGTGACACAGAGCCAGGCACGGTCCAGGGATCTCTGCAGCTCCTGGAGGGGTCACTCGAGCCGGGCAGTGTCCCCAGGACACCCCGAGGCCAGAGCCAGGTGCCCCCCCAGACTGCAAACAGCCCCCGCTTTCTGCTTGGCCGGGCCGGGGAAAGCGGCTTCGGCCGGGGCTCGATTTTAAATGGGAAGCATCCACAAAAACCATTCCTGGAAGCCAGCCCTGTGTCCCTCGGGGTCTGTGAGCCCTCGCTGGCCCATCGCAGCCCCCAGCAGCAGGTGCTGTCACCAGGACAGGCCGGGATGTCACCGCAGCACGGCAGCGCTCGGGATGCGACTCAGAGCAGGGCCCCCAAACCCCACGGGTGGGAGAAGGAGGGAGGGGGATGCCAGGGGCTGCACCCCCACCCCAAATCGCTGCCACCCGGGCAGAGCCTGCCCAGCAACTCGGCACAGAGCAGGGAAGTGTCTGGGTGGGGGTCTGGGGATCAGCGAGTGGATAATAGCGGATAAACCCCTGATCCTGCCGCTAAAGCAGCTCTGCATTAAGGAGACAAGAGTCGGGGGGGGTAGGGGGGGGTCAGGGGACACCCCCTCGCCTGGTGTGTCCCCCTGCCACCCTGCTGGCAGCCCAGGCTCAACCCAGCCCGCTCACAAGCACAAGCTGTCATTTTATTAAGCCAGGAATAAACTCTAATCTTCACCCATTTGGCTTTGGGGGGGGCTCCGAGGGAGCCAGGGAGGGGGTGGCCATGGGAGGGGGGACCCAGAGGGACACGGAGGTGCCCCGGGGTGGGGAGATGGTGCAAAGCCCCGTATTGCAGGCACGGATAAAATAGAGATGTATTTGTAAATATTGCCCCCCCCTCCATGTCCCCCGGTGCCAGCACTTACCGGGGAGCAGCAGGGAGCAGAGGCAGCAGAGCAGCGCGGCCGGTCCGGGCAGCATCTTCTCCAGAGAGGCCATTGCAAGGTGGGGGGACAGCCAGAAAAAGCAGTGGGGGAGAAAAAAGAAACCAAAAAAAAAAAAAAAAAAAAAAAAAAACCCGAGGCACCCCAGCGGCGAAAAAAAAAAAAAAAATTAAAAAAATTAATAATAAAAGGAATCCAAACCAAGCACCGAAAAAAACCCGCAGAAATCCCCCTAAATCCAACCACGTGCGAGCCGGGAGCAGCAGCCAACGGCGGAATTTGGGGAGGGGGGGGGGGGGGAACCAGGTTAGGGGGGGCTCGGCTTTGCCCCCCCCCGGCTCAGCGAGCAGAGCTCCCCATCTCCGGCCCCCCACCCCTCCCCAGCCCGCGCCCCAAAGCTGCCGCAACCCCCCCCCGGTGCCTGCAGGGCGGCCGGGGGAGCGCCCAGCCGGCGGGGGAGGGTCCCCCTCCTCTTCCTCCTCCTCCTCTTCCTCCTCAGGAGCCGCGAGCGGGGGGAGCAGAGCACGTGGAACCCCCCTTTTCCCGGAGGCAAAAGCAGAGCCCCGATGTGCCGATGGAGGAGGAGGAGGATGATGCTGCAGGGTGCGGGTCGCCAGCCCCCCCCCAACCCGCCCCGCTCCCTGCACGAGAAGAAAAATCAGAATTCCAAGCGCTGTTCTTCCAAAGGGGAAGAAAAATAAAAATTGGGAGGGGGGGGGGTGGGTGGGGGGAGAAGAAAAAAAAAAAAAAAAAAAGCGGAATTAACGCGCTCCCCCCGAGGAAAAAAGATAAACAGGCAAAAAAAAAAAAATCAACCAAAAAACCAAGAAAACAAGAAGAACGTAACACAAAAACCACAACCCAGAGCCGGGTGAATAATTAATCCCAGGCAGATGCGATTAATCGGCGGCAGGAGCAGCTCGGCGGCGGAGTCCCCGCATCCCAAGGCAAAGTTTGGGGGGCTGGGGCGGGGGGGGGGGACACCCCGGGGCTCAGCGCTGGCAGCGGGGGGACCCCGCCAGGAGCCCTGCAAAGAGGGGGTCCCCCGCGTTAAAGGCGGGGTGTCCCCCCCGCTGCAGGCAGGCGGAGGCAGGCAGGGGGTGCCGGGGGGTCGGGAGGTTGAGGGGGGCTCTGCCGGGGCCCCCCCAGCCTGTGCCGGGCCGGGCTGGGCGCTCCGGTGCCCGCTCGCCCGGCCCGAGCCGCATCGGGCTCCGCTGGGTGCCAGCGAGCGGCAGGGGGAGGCGCCTTCCTCCTCCTCCTCCTCCTCCTCCTCCTCCGCCCTCTCCTCGCAGCCCCTCCCGGGGGTGCCCGGCCCTGCCCCGGGGTGGTGAAATTTGGGGGGTTCCGAGCCCTCCTGGGCAAGGGGAGTGCGGGGAGGAGCAGCCGGGCTTGACCACCCTGGTGGTCCCTGTGCCACACCTGCAGACTGTCCCCTTGTGCCACACCTGCAGATTGTCCCCACCTCTGTGCCACACCTGCAGATTGTCCCCCCCTCCGTGCCACACCTGCAGATTGTCCCCCTGTGTTCCACACCTGCAGATTGTCCCCCAGAATGTCCCCTCTGTACCACACCTGCAGATTGTCCCCCCTGTGTGCCACACCTGCAGATTGTCCCCCTGTGTTCCACACCTGCAGATTGTCCCCCTGTGTTCCACACCTGCAGATTGTCCCCCCTGTGTGCCACACCTGCAGATTGTCCCCCAGAATGTCCCCTCTGTACCACACCTGCAGATTGTCCCCCCTGTGTGCCACACCTGCAGATTGTCCCCACCTCTGTGCCACACCTGCAGATTGTCCCCACCTCTGTGCCACCCCTGCAGATTGTCCCCCCCTCCGTGCCACATTTTCAGATTTTCCCCACCTCTGTGCCACACCTGCACCGTGTTCCCCCCGTGCCACACCTGCAGATTGTCCCCCCTGTGCCACACCTGCACCGTGTCCCTACCTCTGTGCCACACCTGCACCGTGTCCCCTCAGTGCTACCCAGGTGATCAGCCCTGTCACCCCTCCTGGCTGTGCACACAGGCTGGGGGTATTGGGGACCCCCTGTGCCCCCCTGGGGTGGGACATCGCTCCCTCTGTCCCTCCCTGGTGCCCTCCACACATCCCGGGATCAGCTCCTGCAGGGCCTGGAGATGCTCCCAGTACGGCTGGGGAGGGATTCCCTTATCCCTTATTCCCTTATCCCAGCTGGAGCCATGGGAGAGTTGGTGTTTTGGGAATGCCACACTCCCCTCAACTGCCCAACAGGAATGTGAGAGCATTTTGGGGGGGCTGAGACCCCATTCCCAGCCATTCCCACCGGGGCTGGCTGCGTTTTCCTGCCCACACCAAGCCCGGGTGTCTCTCCTCTCCCTGCTCTGCTTCCCTCCATTCCCTCCCATCTCCCTTTCCCAGGAAAGCTCGGCCAGCACGTTCCCCCTGGCAGCCTCGCTCAGCGGTGGAAGTGCACAAGACATCTCCATTAACGCCAAAATAATTCACGGCAATTAATGGGACTGACCTTGAGCAGTGACAGGAGCTGGAGATGCCCCCGGGAAGAGGCGGCCCCGCAGCGCTGAAGAGGAGGAGGAGGATGGATCCCCCCCCCGAGGGTTCCCCAGCACCTTTGGGTGCTGCTGGGAGAGCTTTGGGAACAGCACCAGGGTGAGGAGGAGGAGGAGGGAGATGGGATGTGCCTCAATCCCCGCCACCTGGAATTCCGCAGGAAGGGCCAAGCGTTGTTTTGGAGCGGCCCCAGGCTTGTTTCCATAAAAATCCCATAATTTATAAACCAATCTCCCAATTGCTTCGGGAAGGGAGGGCTGAGCCCCCCGGGATGGCACCGCCCAGCCCCTGATCTCCTCCCCACCCTGCCCAGGTGGGACAAATCCTCCATTTCCCCACTCCAGAACGGGCACTGGGAAACTGGGGATGGTGCCCTGTCCTTCCCCGCCTCGGGATCCTTTTCCCACTGATGGATGAGGCTTTTAAAGAGGGATGTTTGGGTGCAATCCCTCCGCCTTCCCGCGGTGCCTCTGGCAGGTTCTTGGCAGCACCGCTGGGAGATTTTTCTTTTTTTCCAGCCGTTCCAGAAAGGAGTATTTTTACCCCAGCTGGATTTTATTTATGACTCCAGCATTGGAGTGGGCTGGGATCTCTCCCGAGTGAGGAGCAAAGCCAGGGGGAGATGCCAGAGATAAATCCCCTTGTTTCAGCAGGAGCTGAGGCTGGGAAGGGCAAAACGTAACCCAGAACAATTTCCCACGTGTCCTTGTGGGGACCCACCTGAGCAACACCTGGATGGATTTTCCAAGGAGTTATCCCAAAAAAAAAAACCCCTGAGGGATGTCCAGGCAGGATTGGGTCAGCACAAATTCCTAAATGGTGATTCCTAAATGGTGATTCCTAAATGGTGATTCCCACATCTCCTTGTGGGGACCCACCAGGGCAACTCCTGGATGGATTTTCCAAGGAGTTATCCAAAAAAAAAAACCAAAAAAGCCACGGAGGGATGTCCACCAGAGCAACTGGATGTCCACCAGAGCAACTCCTAGATGGATTTTCCAAGGAGTTATCCCAAAAAAACCAAAAAAAACCCCAAAAAATAAACACTGAGGGATGTCCAGGCAGGATTGGGTCTGGACAAATTCCCAAATGGTGATTCCCACATGTCCTTGTGGGGACACACCTGAGCAACTCCTGGATGGATTTTCCAAGGAGTTATCCCAAAAAAAAAGAAAAAAAAAAAAAAAAACAACAAAAAACAAACACTGAGGGATGTCCAGGCAGGATTGGGTCTGTACAAATTCCCAAATGGTGATTCCCATGTGTCCTTGTGGGGACACACCTGAGCAACTCCTGGATGGATTTTCCAAGGAGTTGCCAAAAAAAAAAAAAAACCAAAAAAGCCATGGAGGGATGTCCAGGCAGGATTAGGTTCCCAAATGGGGATTCCCAAATGGTGATTTCTACATGTCCTTGTGGGGACCCACCCGAGCAACTCCTGGATGGGTTTTCCGAGGAGTTATCCCAAAAAAACCCCAAAAAATAAACACTGAGGGATGTCCAGGCAGGATTGAGTCTGGACAAATTCCCAAATGGAGATTCCCAAATGGAGATTCCCAAACCACCCCCGGGACAGCAGCTCCATCCCACTCACCCCATGGACCCCACTCCCCAAAACACCACAAGCTCCCCATTGTCCCAGAGCAGGATGGGACGGGCTGGAGGCGCTTCCCACGTGGATAAATCCAATCCCACGGATTCGGTGCCAGCTCGGGCTGGGAGCGCCGCCGGCCTCTCCATCCCGGTAATAATCCCTGGCCCGAGTTTCACCTGCCCTAATCCCACTAATCGCTGGGATAACAGGGCGCTAATCACCCCGAGCCAGCCCTAATCCCTGTGGGAGCCGCTCTGGAGGTGTCGCTGCTGCCCGGGGACCTCCGGAGGTGGCATCAGGAGGGAGCCACGTCCCCTTTTCCTGGGGAAACTGAGGCACGGCCTCTCTCTCCAGCTCGGCTGTTTCCAAGGCTTTGCTGGGATGAATCCATGAAGAACAAGGAGAGCTCCTGGCATGCAAGCCACTGCTTTGGATGCATGCAAACACAGCCCAAACCCCATTTTTGGGGGATTTTACCAAAAAGCCAAGAGCCAGCGCTGAGCTTCGCACCTGGAGTTGTTCTTTTTCACCCCCAGGACCCTCCAAAGAAGATAAATCCCTCATAAACCAGAAAGAATTAATCCAAACCAGCCCTGGGGACGCGTCAGGTGAGTGAAATCCCCACTCCAAGCTTCTGTTTTTGCCATTATTGTCCAATAATGCACACAGGGAAATTCCTTGGTAGTGGCAGGAGCATCCCAGCCCTGTCCCAGAGCTAATCCTAAAACATGATTAAAAATACATCTCAATTCCCTCCCTTCCAGAAATCCATTTGTACCCTCAGCCCTTCCTTCTATGGTTCTGATAAGGACAGAAATAGAGGAATCCCGTAATTGCCATAAATTCATTTTATGTGATTATTTCTAAGGAGATGGAAGGGGGAAAAAAAGCCTTTTATTGGAATTAATTGTCCA